GCTGATCAGAAAATTATAGAAAATAATAATAAACAAAGACACAAAACAACAGTGTGCATAAACAACCTACTAACAGCAATAACATGAGCATGAAAAAGCAAAGGAGAGATAATTTTTTTGTGACTAAATCTGTATGAGACAAGTACCCTATTTTGCAATACTTTTTTAGCTTAAAACTCTTGGCACAAGATGTAAGTTTGAACATTTTTTACAATGTTTTTATGTAAATAACATAGCAGCAAAGTTTCTTTCAAAGAATGAAATGGTGTCTAGAGGCTTTTCTTCCATCTAAAATTGCAAAGCATTTCTGTTAAGAAATGTTCCTTGCTGCATGCTATCTTTATGAGATTTTCTTGCTGACCCTCTGATTTAAGCTTTCTGAGAGCCTCCAGGGTGTCAAGCTGTCTGGTTGAAAAGTGGAAAGTTGGAGAAAGAGAGATTGTGCTTTATTCTCCTCGGGTAAAAGAAGTCCTTCAATGGTATTTGGATCAGCAAGCTTTGTCTAACTCCAACACCGTTGCGGAAGCCAAAAACAGTCCAAACCAGGATTACCAATATCTCTTTAGTCTTTAATTAGCCTTTATCAGAACTGTCACATAGCAACAGAAAAATTACATATTTCAGCTCCATGACAAAGAAGCCTTTCAGTTTTCTTTAAATGCATGAAAATATTTATTTTGTTCTGTCTTAAGAAACATTGAAGAGGTGTATGAAATGAATCATTTTCTGGACAACTTGTTTCTTTCATTTTATCTACACATTCAGGAGAAAAAAAACAAGAAGTTGGTGAGTTAAATAGAAAGCACAACCTCTGAAAGACATTTTTTTGTAAATTTGTTAAGCATTTCCAGCAGAATGGTGTGGGACGTGTCTAAGGAGTTACGCAGATGAATCCATCCATCCATCCATCCATCCATCCATCCATCCATCCATCCATCCATCCATCCATCCATCCATCCATCCATCCATCCATCTTTGTACTGATCTTACCATAAGGGAAAATCCACGTCCAACAGCCTTTTAAAACAATTTTCTGCTATTATTTTTAAGAAGGATTTAAGGGGATTTCCAGTTCAAGAAATTAAAAGAAAGGAGGGAATTTTAAAAGTTCAAAAGAATGATCTGTAATGAAGCAAGGTTTTTGAAGGATAGAAGGTGAGTTCAAAGATCTTTGTGCAGGTGGAGTGAAACTCTTTGAAATAGCGTTAAAAAAGAAGATTAGGGCTTCTATGGAAGTGGCCACTTAGTTTGATGAATAAATAAATACATACAGAAATAATGAAAAGTATATGTGTATCCGTTCATCAAAAAACACTTATTATTCAATAATATAGTTTAAAAGATATATTTTGTAATTTAATAGCAATTTAATTTGACTTAATTTAAAGACACATTAAATAAAATTGTGTACCATTTATTTGTTAAATACTTTATTCATAATGTATTTAACAAATAAATGGTACACAAAAACATTTGTCATTTTTAATGGCTAACCGATTTATTTCATTTTGAATTAAATTATTTTCCTGGTAGATTTATTTATTTATTTCATTACACTTATTTAATTCTATATTAAATCATTTAGTTTTGTACCTCCATATTTGCATGCTGCTAAGTATTCTACTTAAATGTGTTGCTTTTGCTTATAGATGTATTGAGTAAGCATTTCTGGATCTTTGAAAGTTTGCATTTTTTTCACAGTTCAAAATACCTTATGTGTTTTATTAGGATTTTAGGAGATAGATTGCCACAATAAGAGCAGAGTTGATTAGTGGACGGAGCATTTATCTTTAAAAAATAGTGGTAAGCATAGTATTAAGCTTCTTTAACTCGGATATAAAAAAAATACATGTCAGAGAAACATTCCTTCCCAAATAATCATTTAATAAATCAATGCACGATTAATCAAAGCTTAAGTTCAGATGTTCTGCTAAGGCCTCTGATGATCAACTACAAACAAAAACATGGCCATTTGATCAGGGAGGCTGTAAAGAGGCACATACTGTCAGGTAGCAGAATCCGTTGTTTGATTAGCTCTCTGCTACTCATCTGGCTTTATTTCATAGCAGCACAAAAATAAATTGTTTAACGAATACCAAATGAGGCCTCCTTAATGTTAGACATACTAAATATGGAGAAGGTCAGAAAAGAGCAAAATGGGCTTTTTGGCCTACATATAAAATTACTGTGTGGTTGTTCATTAAAACTGCACATTTCATCATCTGCATTGTAAAAGTAAACTGCATCATGCTTGTGGGTTGCTTCCTACTCTGAGAGGATGATGCTGATGTTTATGAAGATTAGGTCTAAGTTCCATCTTTGGGAGAGTTATCTTCTTCACTATGAGGTTTTTTTTAAACATATTTCATTTAAGTGACTAAGAACTTCTGGTCCAACATAGAACTTAAATAGAACTTAAAATTGCAATGGATTATGAATAGAAGTTGAAAGCTGATAGTGAAATGTGGTCTTTACCCCAATACACCACTAATTCAGCACTACAGTAATCTGTGTTGTAACATAGCAACGTACACGTGTTAATATTAACTTCTTAAGAGTCATATCCCAAACTTTTCCTTCAATTAAACTTTTGGATCAAGAAAAGCACTTTTGAAGTAATACTTTACTTCTAAATTTAGCAATGCACTTCATTTAAAAACCTAAATGAATCTGTATATGAAATGTTTTGAGAAAGATGAATATCTTTGTTGATTTCATTATGAGGGTTTATAGTTTGAATGGCATAGGGTGACATTATTCACCCCTTGCTAGCCTAACATCTAATTAACTGACATCACAAAGTATATATATGTTTATTACAGCAAAAACTCCTTCTGATCTGCAGTGTTTGGAAAAGGCAAACCTATTCAAATAAGAAAACACTGTTGATAAAAATAGGTTAAATGAGTCATAATATTTTGCAGAAAAAAGTTTATTCTTCCTTCTTCTTAATACTCTTTGTCGTCTTCCTACCACATTGATGCATTTCTAAGCTCCTCTAAACGACTTCCTCTGTGGTTGGTAACCACTCAGAAAGCATTTTCCCATCAACGGTTCCGCAGTGCTGTCATGGACTGGCGACCTGTCCAGGGTGTATCCTGCCTCTCGCCCGTAGATAGATGCAGATAGGCACCAGCACCCTCCACGATCCTGCTTGGGATAAGCGTGACGGAAAATGGATGGATGGTTCCGCATTCCTTCACAAATAATGTACAACAACTAATTATTTCCATGTTTTCTAAAGAGCCAAATGTACAGGAGGGAACTTTGAAAATGCTTTCTTACCGTTGATGTTTTCACAATTTGTCATATTGGTCACACACAGCATAATTAGAATTTATAATAAAAAAGCAAGGGAAAGTTGTGCATACTAAATGCACAGACTCTGGTATGTGTTCTTTTTTTTAAATAGTTTGCAAATATGCATTTGAAAAAGGACTTAAATTCTACATGTAAATGTAATTAACTGAGGTCTTTGTGTTTGTAAAAGAACCAAATGTGTCAAATGTTCAGAAGGTATTAATGTTGTAGATTTAGTAAAAAAAAAACAACAACAAAAAACTATTTATAACTTATCTTTAGAAAACCTAAATGTATAGAGATGTGCAAGCTTATCCACAATTTTCTGCAATTAAGCCACAGAAACCACTGGGTGCAAATAGTGCCTGAACAAGTTATGAGATATTGCTTCCATATGCATTTGAATTACCATTTGGGAAAAAAAACAAAAAAAAAACCTAAAACCATGGCATTATAAAGTAAGTGGTAAAACATAAAACAAGAAGAAAAAAAAAGCCTACAACTGTTTTTTTTAAAAAAAGGACAAATTTGTATTAGGAGTTGAAGAAAACATTTTGCTCGTAGCATTCCATTTTCTTGAAAAAAAAAGACATGGAAGTTTGTCCTCCAGTACATTCCTTATCTTAACCTCCACAAGGAGCACAGACCCGGGGAGTAAATGCTAGCTGGAGCAACACATTGACGGCGGAGAAGGAAAGTCTCATACATACACATGGATCACATTAAAGGAGGTGTATGCACACCTGAAACGCACTCAAGCATCTCAAGAGACAAACAAACCAGCAAAGGAACTTCAAATGTAATCACACAACAAGAACAAGCACACAGTGCTCGGACATCATTCGAAAATTTGTTGAATCATTCATGAGCAGCTTTCATGGGCTGTGGTCCTCTTCACTTATTGCAGTGAAACCTAAAACATTCAGATGGAGTGTAGGAAGTGATGAACGCGCGAGTGGGAGCAAGCAGCCTTAAGATAATGCACTTGGACAGTTCAGGTCAAGGATTTAATTTAGTCTAGGAAGCTGTGCTTTCCTTTTATCTTGAGGATTAAGCAAAGCTGGAGAGCTTTGACCTCAGAGAAAAACAGTTTCTTTTCAGGTAAGTCTAACACATGTAATGTCTAAGTGATGTTTAGCAAAAACAACAACAAAAAATGGTCTGAGCTTATTTCTTCTTGCTTCTGAAGCTCATTTCACCCAACCTAGAAGGTCATATATAAAGGACCAACCTCTTCAAATCTAAAGTTGATCTTTCAGATTATTTGTTACTATAAAACAACGGAGAGCATCATATAATGATCAGATACAAGTCCACTGTATATGTATGAAAATCACTTTGGCAATGTACTTCACTTTTACGACTCCCCAGCACTGTTAATTATCACATCAGCTGAGCGATTCTCCCACACACTACACCACAGTTGCTGCTTGTACACGATACAAGATGAACGCAGAGTTGGTTTGGGCCAGCTCAGTCTCTGCGGTCCTGTAGATGAGTAAACTAACACATTAACCAGCAGGTTGAGTTTTGACTGAGCTTTCTATTCAGTGGTGAAGCCCTGGTCTTCCTCTGGATCACTACAGTACATCCTTGGACCCAGTCTGCTGTCCCGCTCTGGATGTGCGAAGGCTGCGGTGTTCCCTCCAGCACTGCGGTGACACTGAGAGAGCCGAAGCCATTGGAGTTGTGACTGTGAGGTTGCGATGGTCACAAGCAGGACTCGCGGGAGCCAATGTTTGCGTGCAGAGACTTTTTCTTCTGCTCTTTGTGATTTCCATTGTGAAGAACAGAATACCTGAAAGAAGACACAGAGGCAGGGACAAAGAAAAATCACAAAATAGGTTAAAAACGACAAATATAGGTCTTTAAAAAAAAAAAAAATAGTCCTGTTACATTTTCCATATTTTTATGGGACATTTCTTCAATGTTCAATAGAGAAAGAATGCATTTTAAATTATTTAAAAGAGCAGAGTACATGTAGAGGGCATTGAAAGATAGAAATGTCTGTATGGAGTTTCACCATGTAACAGTGTTCTGTGCTTTTTTATTCTTTGCCTGTCTTACTGTGTTACTGTATCTTTGACATTTGGCTAAAAATACATCATAGAATTCACGCTTTGTTAGGTTATATTATGTCTAGACAGAACTTCAGATCATCCTTTCAGCCTGTGATCTACACATGCTCACACGCTTGCTGATCTCCCATTAAAGGGTCCACATTGAATGAAGGGTTGAAGTTGACCAACCCATTTTACTGCTCCATTTCACCTTTGGAGGTGATCACAGATATGAAATGGCAAGACAAGATAGTGGAAAAAACTTTAAGTGCATTACAAAAAATGTTAAATTTCTGTTTATTTCAGTTTGTTTGCTTCACTATGCACAATAACACGGTCATGTGCAGTAATTATAATTTGGTACTGAGCAGCATTTTCAGTTGTAAATACTGTCAATTATATATGTGATCTTTAGCTTATTTAATTCTTATCCTTATTTTATTTTTTATTCTGTCTTATTATACTATATTTTGTTCTATTGTACTTAGTCTTATACTGTAAGCAGTATGCATATATATATATATATATATATATATATATATATATATATATATAGGTTTATAAGTATATAGGTTTTAGGAGGATTTTTAAAGCTGGTGTGTTAAGAAATTCCTCTGATGTGCAGTAAAGTTCTCAAGCAGACACTCACTGACAGGCTCCTCAAGTGCAATCAGACACAGAAGATTATTGCTTAAGCAGCATGATCTTAAAAAGTGTATAACTAGAGTAAACAAGTGTATATATTTTGGTAATAAATAGTGCAGAAGCACATCTTTAAGAGCATAACTACAGCAGTAAGAAAATTCTTCTGCAAAGTCAGTACATGAGAGGGCCAGAGAGTTTGAGTTCTCACCAGTGTTCCAGGATATGAATTTCAACTGTGGAAGCTCAAATGAGGAAATGTCTAATAGGACAGTTAAAAAGTCTTGCCTAATCTAGACTGTGATTTAGCATAAACAGATCTTACATCGGTATTCTTTAAGGCTTAAGAAAATTGTGGTCCAAAAAAATAAAAGTCATATAAGGTGTGGCACAGTGGTAGAGTACACGACTTAAATATAGAGGCTTAGATCCTCTGAGCCACCATCACAGGGAGATATGTGCTGCTGTTTTCCTTTCTTTCCATTTATTTTATTTTAACTTAGCAAAAAAGGCCATTATGGCTACAACAATGAGAAAAAGGAACAACATAAGTTGTAGGTCTTGCTTTTCACTGAAAGAAGCCCTTTTAATTTGTCAGAACAATCCTACTCCATAAAACAAGTCTACTGCCTCATAATTTAAAACTGAATCTAAAAATGTAAAATGTATGCAAGTCCCTTTATTGTCCCACAATGGGGGAAATTCGCTCTTTGCATTTTGACCCATCCCCTTGGGGAGCAGTGGGCTGCCATTGTGTGGCGCCCGGGGAGCAATCAGGGGTTAAGGGTGTTGCTCAGGAACCCAGAGTGCATGCTGTGGAGATTGAACCGGGTGCTTGCAACTTTCTCAAAGAACAAGAGCACTACTCTAACCCACTAGGCCAACACTTATAAAGTAAAATATAATAAAAAGTTTTTTGGTATCTGCAAAAAGATCTCACAGATCTGGAAACCCCTTATACATTTGTATAAGACATGTGCCTTACATTACATAGATATGCTTATATGTTAGCTTATATATACAACATCAATGGTGGAAATAGGGAACTAGATGTTCTCTTTATGTGTGTGTGTGTGTGTTTCACAAAGAGCTAGCCTCGGGCTAAATCCATTATGAGCTGTTTAGACAAACACCCTGACCAAAGACACTTCCTGCTGCCAAACTGGCCGTGAAATACACCATTCAGAAAGCCACCAACATTTAGAGCTTTGCTGGAAGAAACAGGCTTCAGATTCTCACCGAAGCAGAACACAAAATTGCTCCCACATTGCAGCATTAAACCTTTAAATGGCTTCACTGTTGTGCTCTGAATGTAACCACACTCATCAAGAAACCCTGGGGTCACAACCAGTTTGCCTGCCAGCAAATTTCTGAAAAACTTCAGCTAAGCTTTAGTTGGGATGCATGTCACCTGGCTGCCTTCAGTCTCACAATGCGAAATGTGGTTGCATTGTGGGACTATTGCTATAAAAGGATAATTTGTTTTATTAGTCAAATAACCATTGTCTTCACTGTGTTTAATGTGTAGTGCAATGTTGTTAACAACACTGCAGGGAGCTCAAGTGGTCCAATAAATGATGCAGTGATCTGTAAAGTTCTGTTAAAGCCAGTGAAATGGGGAAAAAAAGCACAGCTGACAGTAAATTCTGGATGAAATTTAGTCCTCTAGGTACAACTCTAGACCCATTAAACCTTTAGAGGTTTCAGATAAAGTTAAGAAGCTGCTTGAGGGGAACAATAGGGGAAGGTGCTGGTTAACAGAGATACTGAAAGGGAAAGAACAATTGTTTGGGGAGTTTGATGAAAAACGGGGAACATCTAATGAGTCAAGATCATTACACTGTCAAGATCATGGCTACATGCTAAAGAAATAGTTCAGGCCAAAAGCACCAAAAAGATAAGTACGCATTATAAAAATGAGCTGTAAGAAATCATCTTCATTTAAGGTATAGTGGAGGATGTTCTTTTTCCGGGTGGATCATTAAAATAATTGTCAATCATTCTGGTGATATGTTTATGTAAGGCCGTCCTACGTGCTCATCCCTATTTTCACTTACTGGTGGTGGGTCTGATATAGTGGAAAACATTGCAAACCTTGCACAAGGAGAAATGGACTTGTGCATGCTCTCGCATGTGTTTAATAGGCTATCCCTCTCGGGACTGGGTACAGGGTTGTGCATGTGCATTTTTTTTTAAGTGGAGCGGGTGGGTCTTTTCAAAAATTCGCAAAAAATCCTCCACTATACCTTTAAATTCACTTGTATTAGTTGGGCTAACCATGCCATGGTCTGTGTTGTTTTTTTTTGTGTTTACCTACTGATCCCTCCCTGGATGAATGCTATTATTGTTTAAGGTTATATTCACAGTGCAGGTATTGATGCTTAATTCAAATTTCTTGCTGAAATCAAATTTTTCATAGCCACAAAGCGACCCACATAGGCAGAAGAACAGTGTGGACGTCACAGCAGCACACTGTTTACGGAAGTAATGAAAGACGTCGGCATCTCTGAGATATTTTAAGTCGGTAAACAATCTCCTGAAAAAATTGCAATAGAGATTAAGAAAAGTACGAAAAAAGCAGAGCAAATCAATTATTCTTTATTTCTAGCAGTGATTGCTTTGCTGGAAAGGAGTCTGTATAAGTGAGAACTCAGAGCCTGGATGATAATGATGAGTCGGATGAAAGGTGTCATGATAGTTCTGATTGCAGATGCTTTAAAAACTATTCGATAAGTATCCAATTTAGTAGCACTTATGGAATCTGAATAATTGTACATTTTTAAACGTAAAAGAAATCAGAATTTGGTCTTTCTCACTGACATGAAATAAATTGCACATGGACAAAACGAATTTGATCTGCTTCACATTTCCTACAATGTGAACATAGCCTTTGTCGTGCCATATATGTTCACTCCTGTCTTTTGGGTTTCTTAGTTTTGTTTTCTGTGCATTTTAATTAACACTCACGTGTTAGTTTCGGGCCTGTGCAGAATCGAAATCAGAAAGGGGTTTATTGCCGAGCAGTGTGTGTTTACACATAAGAGGTTTGATAATGAGGTTCCTACACACAGACAAGCTGACATACAGTCAATATATATGAGTAATTAGAAATTTAGAATAAATAAATTGCAAGTAATATATGAAGAGCATTATGGTAGTTATTAAAAAACAAAAACAGCACATATTGAGATTAAATATACAAATACAGGTGCTGATCTGTTCATCTGGAAAAGTGACACTAGGGGACCTGGGTCTTGTTAATGAGTCTCATAACAGATCGTCAATTTCAATTTTGCTAACTTTTATAGATCTGTTTTAAGTAGAACAGCTCCCTCTGTGTGTTCCCTAGAAACATCCGTTACTTTGTCACAGTGGGGAAATGCAGGTGTTTCAGCAGCAAAGATAATAGGCACTTCTTTCCCACCCATCTTCACCAAATGACAACTAGCTCTTGGTCCTAATTAGTGAGCATGTTATATTAGCAAGGTAACAGTTTGTCGATAATGTGTGGAAAGAGGGAAACGCACTATAATGATTTAAATGACTTTTACAAAGCCCACAGAGGGAATTTTACATCTCCAAAACTGATGCTCTTAAGGGATTTCTGAGGTCTGTGACAAGTATTATATCGATCAAATGTAGCTCAAGGAAAGGACAGTGGGGGACTGACGATAGGGTCCCGGGCACTAATGGTTCACTCATGCATGTAGAGATGATCTAATTTAACAGACAAGCTCCTGAACAGTTTATTATTCCTGGTTGTAATTAAAATGTCTCAGATTACACAATTCACAATTGGTTTTATGAGGAAAAAAAACAAAGCAAACAAACTGAAAGGATCTGCTAGTTTGTGCCAGAAACTACAGCAGAAACCAGTGAAAGCATAAGTACCATCATATGTCTACATGAGCAAAGTTTAGTGCATAATTTGGTTAGGACACTATGTACAAACACTACATGTACTCATTTGGAGCCCATATTTAATTTAATACTTAGATCAAATGAAACTCCAAAGCAGGGCATGTGGCTTGATCCATACTGTGTTTATCTGCGGCTTTATTTGTACACAGCTGAGCCAACAGGCCAACTGACAGGA